GACCCCCCTCACGGACGTCGCTGCAGTCGTGTCATAAAGGGGGGAAACGACCACGTTGGGCCGATACAAAGGGAATCTTGCGGTGGGTTGGGCCCGGACCGTGTTCGGGGGTGTAGCTATGGGCTAGGCTATGACAACCCGGTGAAAAGGTCCATCGGTCAAACCCCGTCCGACGAAAGTCAAAGGCCTAGATCCGTCGGACGACTGTGTGAGGGTTAGACGGGACGGGGTACTTGGGGGGCAGCTATGCCGCCAGGTCTTGCGGTGGGCCCTCTTACGCGTGTGGAAGTACTACCACCATGACTTGGAGGTGGGAATCATGTGCGTCTGGTAGAACCGTAGGGAATCTAGTGGTGGGTTGGGTCCAGGCAGTGTTCGGGGGTGTTCCTATGGGCCGATCTAACGCAACCAGGTGGAAGCTTCCATTGGTCAAAGCCCATCCGGCAATAGTCAAAGGGCTAGATCTCCTTGTCAATGGGGCTTTGGTGTGTAGCTACGTGACCAAAACATTGAACAGGTCCTCATGCATGTGTGAAAGTCATGTGGCATGCGTAGACACATGTCTTGGTGCTCCAGGGTGTGGCCCCCTTCCACGGATGGCACTGCCACCATGACTTGGAGGGGGAATCGTGCGTGTCAGGTAGAACCGGAGGGAATGTAGTGGTGGGTTGGGTCCAGACCGTGTTCGGGGGTGTTCCTATAGGCCGACCTAATGTAACCAGGTGGAAGCGTCCACTGGTCAAAGCCCATCTGGCGATAGTGAAAGGGCTAGACCTCCTGGTCAACGGGTCTTCGGGGTGTAGCTATGCGACCAAAACATCGCACGGGTCCGGACGATAGGGTGGTGGTGGGCATGGGGCCTAAGGCTCATGGTCGGTAGACGGTTCTGGATGCCGTGGTCACTCCTTCTATCCCCTACACACAGCTCCGAGCTACCGACCCGAGCTCGAGCCAGCTCACGAGCACGACCATGACCAGTGCGCAGTCACACTCCCTCCTAGCCAAACGGCACTCTGTAAGTATTTTCCCTCTTATCTTCATTGCTCACTTTGTTTTTTCGAATTGAGATGTTTAATGACTTCCATCATGTCATATTGTAGGCCTACATGGACTACACACGCCAGGAGACCATGGCGTGGAGCGCGACAGTTGCAGCCGTCCAGGAGCGCGTTAGTTTAGCTCCTTTCATTTCACTTCCATATTTGCAATTTCATTTCTTCTGACATTCATGTTTGCTTTGTCAATTAACATGCAACACATTTTTGAGAGCATGGCGGCAGGCATGGTTCCTGTAATGGAACCACCACCACCACCTGCCGGACCACAACCAGTGCTGCTTACCTTTGAGGAATTTCTGGCACAGCACCTGGGGACTACGGTGGTTAGTATATCCCCAAACTATCCAACCACCGCTTACCGTTTATTCAACACAATCATATATCCCCCGAACATGTCTTTTCAAACATCCAGGGAACCGGTGGATCATCTGTTGGTGGTGGTGCCGGTCTTCGCATCACTCCCGAGTCATGGAGCTCGGTCACTTCGATCCACCGAGGCGATGACGGTCTTGGCGGTAGCGCTGCCGTTAGCAGTGACGACCTAGGCTTTGGCGGACTTGGCGGTGGTGGTGGACGTCTTGGCGCTTAAGCCTGTGGGTGGCGGTGGTGGTGATGTTATACTTGTGTGCTTTAGATGACTTGTGGTCTTTTATGCACCTTTAGATGACTTGTGTGCTTCCTTAGATGCTTATGTTGTTTCTGATTTTGCTTATGTTTGTCGGTGGTGTTGGTTGTGAGGATGTGATGGTTTGGTGGTGTTGGTTGTGAACATATACTTATGTTGTTGTGATGGTGGTGGTGGTGGTTGTGAGGATCATACCTATATGTGATGTGTATGTCTATTTCATCATATATATCTGTTGTGTACTTGAATTGAATTAAATTCAAACAGAGAACAGAAAAAAAACAGATAAGGTAGTGTCGAGCTACCAGTGGGCGATACGTGTCACCTATGCCGACGGCCTTGCGTCGGCAATGTTTTACATATACGTCGACGGGTAGGCCGGCAACATAGGCGAACATGGCGCCCATTGGGCGCGTCCTGGCATGTAGATATGCCGACGGCTAGGTCCTCCGCACCGATTTGAATCTACGCCGACGGTTGGGCCATCGGCACATGTGTAGATTCATATATATGTCGACGGCCTACCCGTCAACATACTTGTGCCACGTGGCTCCTTCTAGTTGGGTCGTACTTGACGATGGCGTCGTCAGCCGCCGTCAGACATGGAACTTTGCTGACGGCAAATCTATGCCGATGGCCGTACGGAAGCCCTGGGTATAGGTATCTATGCCGACGGCCTCCCGGGGTATGTCGACAAAAATGTTGCCGACGACCCTATGCCGATGATGTCTGTTGGCATAGGCATAGGGTAGTGTCGAGCTACCAGTGGGCGACACGTGTCACCTATGCCGACGGCAAGGCCATCGGCATAGTTTTACATATACACCGACCGTAGGCCATCGGCTTAGGCGACAGGTAGATATGCCGACGTCTAGGCCGTAGGCATCGATTTGAATCTACGCCGACGGCTGGGCCATCGGCACATGTGGACACCTGGCAGCCTCTGGGTGCCCATGCCGACGGCTGGGCCATCGGCACATGTGGACACGTGGCAGCCTCTGGGTGCCGTCGGCATAGGCCTATCCCGACAGGAAACTAGCCTATGCCGACGGCCTAATAGTACGTCATTCTGGTAATGTAGTCAATTTTTTGCAAAAGTAAGTTTCTTACGAAGGAATAAATTAGTGGCATTGATAATACCCTCTTGATGTGATTTTTCGTTGTATTCCTATCTCTATCAGAGTTTCAGCATGTCGCCCATAAATAGCGTCTACTTAAGCAGCATGATTAGTACGTAGGCGAGGCTGCTCAAGTAAATTGGACTGCAGAAGTTTTAGCATTTCTGAATAGATTTGAAAATATAAATTACTTGAGACATTGGGCTGAAAGCCTCAAACAACATACTTGTGTAAGCAAGCTGAAACCATGCATATTATCCCACCAGCTAATTAAGACGAACGTGAAGCAAACATCGACTCCAGAAGCTGCGATAGACGAGTTGCATGCATATGAGCACGAAGGTTCACTCTAGGTTAGATCGGGGAAGCGTGAGCCTCAATCACTTGCTCAAAGTCGACGCTCCGGAGCACCCCGACGACGGCGAGCGCCTCCTCCTTGCTGCGGATGTTGGCTTCCGTCTCCAGTATCTTGGTGAAGGGCCCGTCCCACTTGCCCATAAGGTTGGAGCGGAGGATCTCATAGGACATGGTGTCCCAGTGCTCGATGTAGGGCAGGTGCTCGGGGGCGACGCGGGCACCGGTGTCCCATCCGTCGTTGAGGGTCTCTTTGATGGGCCTCACCCGCTGGGCCTCGCACATCACAACCTTCATCGCCGCCAGCGCCCGCTTGACCGGCTGCACGTCGGCCCCGGGGCGGTAGGCGGCGAGCACGCGGATGGCCTCCAGCATGGCCTCCCGCCCCAGCGGCACGCCCGGCAGGTTCGCAAGGCCGCCGATGAGGTCGCTGTAGCTGCTGCCGAATGGGAGCGTCGTGGACGTGGGGAAGAGATGCTCAAGGCCAGGAAAGGCGTGCCAATGGCCGCTGCCATCGGTGAAGCCGGCGAAGGAGAGGTCGTGTCTCTGCACGGCGACGGTGGTCTTGTCATCCGGGCCGCGGCCGATTAGCCGGACCCGGACGACGACGACGTTGCCCGCATCAACGGCTCCTGCGTGTCCATGCTCGCTGTTGCTGGTGGCGAGGACAAGTACGAGGAGGAACAGGATGACGAGTCGGTTGACGGTGGATCCGTCCATCTCTTCTCTTCAAGACTAGAACAGTGAACGATGAAGGATGAAGAATCAAGTACGCAGTAGCTAGTATATAGGGTGGCAAGCCAAGGGACACCAGCACACTGATCGCGTTGCCCAACGGTGCTGGCTAGTGCAATGCATGGAACCAGCGTGATTGTCAAGAGAAGAGTGTGAAATGACTCATGGGCGTCTTTTTTGACAGGCCGTGCTTGGCGCCCATGCATATGTGATGCCCGTTCAGCGTCCAACATCTACCTTCCACCTTTTTCTTCACAAAGATGTGATGTGTGAGTGAGTACCATGTGATTGCCTTTTTTACTTTCGTTCAGGAGAGCTTTTATATTACGGCCTGTCTAGAACTCAGTCAAGTCTCAGTCTAATGACGTCAGCGTAGTTGTGGTGCTAGATGCTGCGAATGGCGATGAAAAATGTTGCAACAGTACTGCAAGCAACGACAACCTATACTACAACCGTTCCGAGTAAAGTTGCTACAACCGTCAATGGAGGATGTTGTGACCGGTCAGATGACATGCTACAATCGACGAGGGACAACATGCTACAATCAGCATGACAGATGTTGCAAACTGACAGAAAAAAAGTTGCAAGCAATGGGACAAAATGCTGCAAGGTTGAATAGGACTTCGTTAAATTTCAGTCGACTGAGTTTTAGCAAGCCCATTTATATTATAACTAGCATGTTGTGAACTACTATTTGAGTTAATTTGGCACTATTAGCATTGGCACGCAATGTAAACTATAAAAAGCAAATGTGTACAAAAAGTAATTCTTGAAAAAAATTATTGTATGGAATTTTTCCTGTAAGGTGTCTTAGGTTGGTTGTAAAAGCCTTGTTATTTAAGATGAAAGTCCAGTGGAATTGGTATCTACGGCCTCATGTAAAAGCTTTTTTACCATTTTTTTCCTTTCCTCCGCACCCCTCCCTTCTCTATCTCCTTGTCTACAAATATTTAAGGTTTCTTTATTGAAATCAGACCTATACATCGGTGGTTCGTATCAAAACTTCAGTCAACTCGTTATTTGTCATATTGTATGTTATTCTTTTAATTAGTGCGGTGCCATGTCTCTAGAAGCTTCAACGCATGACCATCTTACCCTAACAATGTAATACACAATCAATTGCACAACATAGTTGGTTGGTGGCAAAAAAAAATCCGGTTTTTAGCATGCATGAATGCAAAGATGTACAAACAACAATTCCAATTATTATGTTGGTGAACTCTGGGTCATTAGAGGAACAATGTATGACGGTGCACAAAGTTTCGTTGGTTTGTGCTCTTAAAATTTCCAACCGGGCGTCTCCATTTCCATTGATTACAAATCAACACAGGGGAAGGGAAAGAGAGAGCGAGTTGGGGCACTATCAGAAAACCCGCTAGTGGTGTTCGACATTAAAACACCCGTTACAGGGCAAGAACTTGATAAGACCCATAAATTCCCATACAACAAACAAAATACTAACTAGAGTTCAAAGATAAAAGGTTAAAAACCAAACCCTCTGGGCCGATATCTACAAATTTCCCAAAGGATCACCAAACGACTCTAGGACCAAGGTGAACATAACCAGACTGTGCAAAAATAAGTTTATGATGTCACAACGGTCGGTTCAACTGTCAGAGGAGCGTCTTCCACCCTAAACGTGTCTGGTACCTGGCCCGCACATATATGCCAGCTTTTCTCTTTCTATGTCATTTACACATTTTTGCAGGAACTATCTATGTCATTTATACGTTTGTGTCTGCGTATATGTTGTAAGTTGCACTTGTCTTGATCCAACATGAAGTCCTACATGATTTTTATGCGGCGGTGTTTAAGGCCCTCCGCCCATTCTCGCATTTCTTGTGTGTGACCCCTCTACTCTGCCTAATGATCTCCCTATGTCTCCCATACGAGTATGACAACAAATACATGGTACTTTTGTGAACTAAAATTCATCAATCATGGACCGTCTAAACTTCAGGCAACTGAAATTCTTAGTAGGGTCACTCAGTTTTTTTTCTAGCGTTGTCGTTTCATGCTATATGAAATGCGGCGAAGGCAAGACCAGTGTTGTACATACTTAGAACAAGCGTAAGTTGTGCACCTTTAATAATACTTATGGTTTAATGATTAATTATAGAATGAATTCTATTTGAAGTCCCAAACACACAATTATATAGTGTCACACCATTACAATATTAAACAGCTGGCGCTAACACAAATATAGGAGAAAATCTGAAGACCAGAAAATCGAGGAAAGAAGAAAAAAACAAGAAGAGGCATTACCACAGGCAAGAAAATAGGTGATTTTTTACGTGAGTTACTTTTTCCTTGCGAGTAAACAAATACATACAAACCATTAACTAGAAAATATAATAAGAAAGATTTATTTAAGATATAAATTCATCTAAGGAACAAATGATCAGGAAGTGGTGTAGATTGAAATAATAGCATAAAAAGGAAATTATAAAATATATTTAAAAAAGAATGAATTGATGGCCCTTATATACCCTAAAAGAAGGAAGAAAACAAAAAATGTAAAACAAAAATGACAAAAGGAATTGACGCAAAATGCATTGAATTTGCACTAATTAACAATATAGAAGAACAATCATATAATATTAAGTTGCATATATATTCATCCATGTTAGAAATTGGTCATCTATTGACATATTGAAACTGAATTGCCGCTCATATCAATAATATCATCCCCATCATTTCTCTCCCTCTCTCACCTGTGTACAGACAATACGCAATGCACACTCATGCATTGCACACACGCCACATAACAGAGAGTTCCTACAGGACGCACGCTGGCGTCAAACATTGAGCCTTCTGGTTTTTTGGACGATTTTTATTTCGACTATTATATACATATGATTTTTCTTAATATGAACATTTTTGAATTTCCCAATCATTTCTTAATACTGTGCTATTTTTGTAATATACACTAAACAATTTTTAAACAAACATTGAACTTTTTTATATATGTTGAATATTTTTAAATATACAATAAAAAACTACAATGCACGGTGAACATTTTTGTAAAAAGACGATGAACACACTGAAAAAGAATTAATATATGTTGAACATTTTTCTAAACTATGGGGGATTTTTTGTAATATACAGCAAAAAGTTTCTTAATATACGATGAACATTTTCTTAATACACAAGGATGATTTCATATGCTACAAAAAAGAGAAAAAAATAGAAAACATATACATAGAAAAAACAGAAAAGCAAAACAATCGAAAAAAACAGAAACGAAAAACCTAATACAGAAAACCAAAAAGGAATTAGAGGGGCAAAGAAACGAAAAAGAAAGAAAGTGCTAACGTAAATCACTGTTCAAAAAATCTTCCTATTCAGCGATTTATCGCTACTCTTGGGGTGACCGATAAGATTATGCCTTATTTTCACGGTTTGTCATTTGGGCTGATTTATCACTCTAACAAGTGATTTAGCAAGAATCTACTGATAAATGGAGCCTATTCCTAGCACTATTGTTGCAACAACTATGTTTATTTGTGTTTTGTGGACCTTGTTATGCAATATGTATTGTTGTCCTATTTCGTTTGATATTATATGAGGATTCAGAGCTAGGAATCAAGGCAACACTTTGCTCACCTAGTTACCAGATCAAAAGCACAAAAAATGAAGAAAAAAACTAGGTGAGCGAAGCAAGGGGGGTAGGGGAGCGAACTCTGCTATGAGCACGCCAACTTACTTTCCGGCGTTGAAGGCACCTAAGAGCTCCCCGCATTACATGCTCTGGTTGACTAATCAGTTACTAGCAGGCAGAAGGCGCGGCGGCGCGATGCCTGTCGTGAAGTAGGTGTGCATGGTTGCGTTGTTTTTCATGGGAAAAAAGATGACAGTGGATAAGCGAGATGGCAGTTGGTAATGTGCAAGCCAATTGAACATAGATAAATACTGAAAGATACCAGAAAACAGTTCACCTATCGTTACAAACACTTAGCTATATATCATAAATGTTCAATTCAAAGGTGTTCCTAACAAAATACTCACAATATGTAAATTGTGTGGTACAACCAAAATTTGTACAAAATGGAGCTTCCTTCGAACCAAAGGAAAATATCCCTAGTACACATTTTAAGGATAGTACCCCATCACGCAAAAGATAAAAATTTGTATTAGTGAACAAAGCAAGATGTGCCCATGGTAATCTCAACCAAATAAAATGACGGGCAAAGTCATGTTGCAAACAATCTGAATAGCTGATGCGCATATGAACTTTCTCTCCATATATCTGATACGGTATAACCAGTAAAGGATATGTTCTAAAAATATTATTTGAGTTTAATAGACACAAAAAAACAAAATGATTCGAGTGGATGGCTGAAGGGTCGTCACCTGAAACCAGGATATTAGTTGTGACTCCTCACTTCAGTTCAGTTGAATGTTCCTCCTTATATCTGCTTCAAATAAATCGCAAAAATAAGATGAGAAGACACAAGTTAGGTTCGAGTAAGTTCTTGTCGCTACCACATGAAGTATCATAGTTAATTACTAATATCCACTTAGTCTGAATCAACAGAAAAAATTTATATTACATAAAAAAACTAAATAAAAATTGTCCCTAAATCACCTTCTTGGAAAATACTTCGGTCAGGAGAACAGCCTGGCAGCATGACGTCCAAAGAATACCTTCCAGTTCATAATGAAGATGTTTCACGTGGTCGGGTAAACGGGCATGGTAGAAGGTAGTGGCAGCTAGGCGAAGTAAGGGCCCAAGCGAAGCGGATGCCAATAGTGGAACCATGAAAGGTGGAGAAGAGTAGCGTGAAGCTAGAGCACAACATGGATGCGAGCTTGTCCACCGCCGGCTCCTGGTCAGAAATAGGTGCGCCGCCTTGGACCGTGGGAAGAGAACCACCAGCAAGCAGTGGCGTAGCTAGGGGGTGGCCAGGGTGGTCCATGGACCACCCTGGAATTCCCCCATAGCTTATGTATAGTGTAGTAAAAAACATTTCGTTTAAAATAAA